AGGTCCACTAGTTTCTATTATTATTGCCATTTTATAGATGAGAAAAATCAGGCTGAGACCTGCCCAAAGGTACAGAGGGTCACAAGCCCAGCCCATTGTCCGCAGATGCAGAGCTCTCCCGCTGCCCTCACTTGGACACAGGTGTGCTTCAAGGCTGGACTGCCAGGTGCTAGCGGGGGGCTGTGAACAGGAAGAGTTAGGGCGAAGTGGAAGAGGACCTTATTCTAGAGAAACTAGCTTAGCCTGGAGAACTGCCAGGTCCGCACGAGGAGGCCTCAGAATGGGTGAAAGGTGAGAAGCACGCGTCAGAATGGACAAGTTGCTACAGCAGATTCATCCTGGAGATGAGGGCTGAACCGAGGACCCAGCAATGGGTTAACCCGCCTGACAAATACCTGTTAACCACCTACTGGAGTCGCACACAACAGGGCTTGGAGAACAAGGGCAAGCACCAGAATGGCGCTGGGGAAAAGGTACTGGGCTGCCTGGCGACACAGGATTTACCCCCAGTCCCAACCCGCCCCCTCCTGTCAAAGCTGGAAGCAGTGGCTATACGTGTGGAGTCTGGGGTCAGACAACCTGGGTCCAAGTTCTGGCTGTACCATGCCAACCTTTAGCAAACTATGTAACCCCCACTTCCTCATCTGTAAAATGGGGATAATAACGTACTTAGCTCACACATGACCGAGGACGGTGTACATAAAGTACTACGCACCTGTACACACATAACACCCACCCAAGACACATTCACTGTGTTATTAAGATTGGGACACCAGGACTTCCCTGGCGGTGCAGTGGTTAAGCCTCCACGCTGCCAACGCAGGGGGCCGCAGGTTCAATCCCTGGTCGGGGAACTAGGATCCCACACACCATGCGGCCAAAAGATTTAAAAAAAAAATCCTTTATGCGGGTGTCACCTGCATGAAAGATGTTTGCGAAAACCCACCTCCTTCCATGGCCAAGGCCGAGGGCCCAGAGGAGGAAACTCTCAGAGGCTCTGGGGCTGTGCAGGTGCGGCGGGGCTCCCACGGGTGTGCCAACAGGGCGGCCACCTGCTGTACACTGTCCTCCTTCCCTGAATTCTCCGCCCCCACCGCTCGGAAACCATCCGTGAGGCTCAGTTCCAAGCCAAGGCGATGCACTGGCTGCTATTCAAAAGGCATTTTACTGCCCTTGTCCTTTGATGAGGAATTTCTTTAAATTAGGACTAGCAGTCATGGTGCCCCAAGCCCCCAAGTCTTGTAAACCCCACTCGTTGCCCCAGAAGAGGAAGTTGCTTCATTGGATGGAGAAGTGTTTTGGGGTTGTTTTTTTTTTTTGGTGGGGGGGTGTTGGCGGGATCTCAGTCCCCGAAGCAGGGATTGAACCCGGGCCACAGCAGTGAAAGCCTGAAATCCTAACCACTAGACCACCAGGTAACTGCCAGAAGTGTTTTCTAACCATGGCTTCAGGATAGCCTAGGCCTAGCTCATCCTCCAAAACAGGAGTGGGCAGCCAGGAGCGAGTGAGTGAGCCAGAGAGACAGAGAGAAAAGGAGGGAGGGAGGGAAAGAGACTGTGCGGACGGGGCAGGAGG